CGACACAGACACACACACACAGCCGTGGGTGCGCGCACAGCGACACACACACACACACACACAGCCGTGGGTGCGCACACAGCGAGACAGACACACACAGACGGCTGTGGTGCGCGCACAGTGACACACACACACACACACAGCTGTGGGTGCGCACAGTGACACACACACACACACACAGCCATGGGTGCGCACACAGCGACACACACACACGCACAGCCGTGGGTGTGCGTGCACCCCCCCCCCCATCAGTTTCGGGCAGCACCAGCTCCAGTGGCACCTGGCTGTCCCGGTCCCTGGCCCTGCGCTGTGGGGGCCCGGGCACTGGCAGGTGTGGCATAGCTGATTGGTGGACAGCAGAGCTAACTCAGCCAATCAGTGGTGCAGGTGCCTCTGCTGGCCTGAGGGGGGGGGTTGCGCATGCAGAGCCCCCACCACCAGGAGCGACTCCAGGCACCAGCGCTCCAAACGTGTGTCTGGGGCAGCAAGCCGCAGGGGGGGCCTGCCGGTCACCGTGAGGGCGGCAGTCAGGCAGCCTTCGGCGGCATGCCTGCGGGAGGTCCGCCGGTCCCGCTGCTTCGGCGGCAATTCGGCAGCGGGTACGCCGAAGGTGCGGGACCGGCGGACCTCCTGCAGGCAAGCTGCTGAATCCGCGGGACTGGAGACCTCCCGCAGGCATGCCGCCGAAGGCTGCCTGTCTGCCGTGCTTGGGGCGGCAAAATACATAGAGCCGCCCCTGCCCACCACCCAGTGCTTGAAGCTCAGCCTGAGGTGCCTCCTGTGCCAGGGTCTGGGCATGCCCTGAGGGGCGGGGCAGCCAGCCCAGGTCATTAGCCCAGTGCTTCCCTGAGCCCAGGTCCTGCCCCTTCAGCTGCTGCAGCCGCCAGGTGGCTAGGCCAAGCCAGCCGGGCAGGCCCTGTGTCTGCCCCATCCCCTCGGTCTCCGGTGGGCCCAGCTATGGTGCTAGGGTGACCAGACAGACAGTGTGAACAATCGGGACAGGGGGGTGGGGGGTAATAGGCATCCATTTAAAAAAAGCCCCAAATATCGGGACTGTCCCTATAAAATCGGGCCATCTGGTCCCCTAGATGGTGCCTGCTGAGCCGTGCCCGGAGCTGGGTCTGGTTTCTGCCTTGACAGCCACGTCCCTGCAGACATGGAGTTCCTGGAGGTGCTGACGGAGCACCTGGACCGGGTCATGCTGGTGCGCGGCGGGGGCCGGGAAGTCATCACCATCTACTCCTGAAACGCCAACTGCTGAGCTGAAGAAGTTTTTTTGCACCCTGAGAGACCCCCACCGACCTCTTTGCACCTGGCTCCAGGGGGGGCAGGAGGGTGGTTCTGCTTGTGCTTGGTGCTCAGAAACTTCACCACGCCCCCCCCACTCGCTCCATTCGAACTGCAGCCCCTGATACTCCAGGAGCAACCAGCACCAGCGCCGCTGTTCCTCATCGCGCCAGCACAGCCCTGCGGTGGGTGTTTATATATAAATAGAGACAGTAGCTCTGAGCCTGAGCCCCAGGGCCTGGAGCGTTACCACCACCGCTGGCCTCCGTGTGGGGCAGGAAGGGGGGCTGGCCAGGCTCTGTCAGTGCTTCCGCGGAGCCCCCGGATGGCTGGCGTGGGTGCCTTGGCCCCTTGGGACTAGGCTCCCTCCCCCTCGCTCTGCTATAGTTGGACACATTGAGGTTTGTGGGACACGTTTGCTGCCCTGTCCCGCCTGCTGACGTGTCCTTTGGAACCCGTTCGCCTGGGCAAGGCCACCCACATGCTCGCCTCGCCCCACCGCTCCCAGGCACCTGCAGTGCCAGCCACAGGCCTCCTGCCAAGGTGGGCTCAGCAAAGCGCAGCCCCTCCTGCTGCCCGTCCCTGGAAACCACAGCCACACTCTGCGGCCCCCCCGGTGCTGGTTTGGACAGGTGAGTGCTGCAGGGCTGGGCAGGGAGGAGGCAGGTCCTGCAGCGCGTCGGAGCGAAGGACAGCGCCATGCTGCCGTTGTCGTGAGGTGCCCTGGATCCACGGGCTGGGTGAGAGGGGCCTGGCCTGGCCAGGGGCTGCATCCCGGCGGGGGGCAGGGGGAGTGTCAGTGGGGACATGGACAAAGTTTTTCTCCTCCCCCCACCCCCCGCTCAGCACAGGCCCACGTGGCTGCACCACCCTGACTCACCTGCTCCAGGGTGTGGGGCCTGAGCTGGGCTGGGGCAGCGCCCTCACTGCATGCTGTTCGCACGCGCTGCACAGCCCTGGGAACGCAGGGGCGCACGTCTGGCTAGTGCCATGCACAGCAGCTCCAGGCGGGAGGCCTGTGTCCCTCCCCCCACACCATGCGTGGGACTGGGCGTGAGCCCAGCGCCCACGGCATGGGCATGAACAGCCTCCCTGTGACCCTCCTGCAGCCTTGTGCCCCCTGCGTCCCCTCCCCCATGGCAACCTCCTCCAAGCCATGTTGCTGCTTCAGGGGCTGCTGGGTAAAGACCATAGGTATTCAAAGTTTATAAATATGCAAATCAGCTCAATCTCACCCCCCCACCCCAGCCCACCCCTGTACCAGCAGCAGCTCACTGACAGTCCCCGTCTGGGATGCAGCCTCCCCAGGTCACATGGGCCCATGAGCAGCTCTGCACCCGCACACATGGCTGTGGGCTTGTTTAGACATGTCAAACCTTGGTCCCAGTCCCTCCTCCCCCCTCAGCATCTCTCACTTTACTGAGAAACTGAGGTGCTTTTAACCAATGTGAATCGTTCTAGGAACCACAGCGGACGTGGAGGCCGGGAGGGCAGAGGGCTCGCCCAGCCCGGTCGCCTGCCCTACTGTATATAATGTACATAATACTGTGTGTGTATTTTTAAAGTGATCATATTTATGTTCCTAGCCCCAGATGAAGTCTATATCTAGAGATCTATATCTATGCTGAGAGATGCAAGGAGTCGCTAGCGCCAGTGAATTCTGGCTCCGGCTTTTAGGCTCAGTCTGGGGCCCAGGCCCATGAGCTCCAAGAGGTTTTGCTGAGGCTGCTCCCCCGGCGAGGGCGGCTTTTCCTCGTTGTTCACGTGCGGGGGGTGAAGGCTGCAGCGTCTCTGGCCTATAGCGCATCCCATGGGGAGGGCCAGCTTGCGGGGTCATTCTCTTTGAATTTTGCTGCTTAGTCTTTTCAGGGAAAAGAAGTTACAGAATTTTCTGAACTTGTTTCACAGCAGATTTGAGCTTCCAATCTGAGTGCAGCCTGCTCCGGCGGGCCTTCTCCGTGCTGCGCCGGCCTCTCCCCCAGCCGAGAGGGAGCGCTTTACTGCTCAGACGTGTGGCCCAGAGCTGAGCCCCAGACCCACCTCTTAGCCTCCATTGCAGCACTGGGAATGGGCCCGTGCAGATTGCCACGGGGGCAGCCCTGTGCCTTCTGCAGGTGGGAGATGGTTCAGAGGCCCATGGCTTGATGCCAGTAAAGGGCTAACGTCTCGTACAATGACTCCCCTTGGAGAAGGCAGCTGGGCCCCTTCTCACAGACAGTGCTGGCTCCCCGTAGGCCCCCTTCCTTTCCTATCCTGCTGCCCTTGCTCAATGCGCTCTAGGGAAGAGCATCCAGTGCCCAGCGCTCCCTGGCAATAGGCTCAAGCCTCTGGGCGTGAATGCCCCCGGCAGCTGCTCCCACAGAGGTGCCAGCCCTCAACTTCCTTCCCACTGAAGCTGCAATAGGGGGAACAAGGTCTTCTGTGGGTACCTGCCCTAAATCCTCCTCCCGTGGGCCCTTGGCATCACTGGCCCCATGGGAATGAGGGGAGGGCACTGGAGCAGGAAGTGATTTGGGCTGAAGCGCCCTGCTCACAATCCAGCATCTGCTCGCCTAGGCCAGGTTTGGTGATGGACTAGCCCTCACATCTGCATTTGTTGCTATGCCCCTTGAGCCCTGGCTCCCTCCAAGTGCCACCGCCCCCCCCAGCAGCAGTTCAGGCTCATCCCCAGTGGCGGCCACACTGCTTGGGAAAATGCAGCTCTGCGTAAGGCAGCATTATTCTGTGCAGCAGCCCTAGCTTCAAACCCTGGCAGAGGATGTGTGCCTGCTGCTGCGCCCACGCGCTGTTAATGGGGAATCGATGCCAAGGTGAAGCCGAACTATTCCCAGAGCACGATCACTGGGCCCAGCTCCTGGCTGGAAGTGGGTGATGCAGGAGCCCAGCCCAACCCTGGACAATTACTGACCAGCAGCTCTGCTGAGTGCTTCAGCCCCAAGGACGCTGCGTTTAAATGAACAGGCAGGTGTCTGCTTGGAGAAGGGTTTCCTTAAGCTTGGGTCAGGGGCTCATGGCTGCTTCTCACAGCCACAGCTTGGGCTAGTTAGTGGCTGCTGTGAGAAAACCCCATAAGCCAGGCCCCTTCCCACGGCTTGGTTCTCAAAGCATTCAGTAGCAGCAAGGTTCCCAAGAGCACAGACTGAGCCCAGGGCTGGAAGTCATAGATGTTACTTGCAAAACTCTCCTTTGGCTTTTGCTGCTGCCTGCAGGCCCCCAAGCTGCCCCCCGGCCCGCCTTCCTCTCCTTTCCGTCCCCAGTGCTGTCCCCCCTCCCTCAGTGCAGATGATCTTCAGTCCTGGCTCTTTCCCTTTAATCAGGACTGAACAGTTCTTGTCTCATGATTCCTCTAGCACTAACTGCCGGCAGCACTGAGCTCACCCGTGGGCATGTCACACCCTGCCCCCATCCCTGCATTGCCTTGTGGCATTGGAAACCCTAGTGCAGACAGGCTGCCGGCACCCTTTTAAGCAAAGCATCCATTAGACCCACTCAGAGCAGGGCTACATCCACTGCTCAAAACAGCAATGGCAGCCAGGGCCCTCTCCCTCCCTCATCCTGGAAAGCCATCACTCCAACAGTGCTGGGGGGCAGCACACAATCCCCTTGGCAAGTGACCACGTTGAGACAGTGAAAGGCGAAGGAGCCCCCATCCCCGGCCCTGGCTCAGCAAGACCAGTGCTACAGCTCTGAACACACATGTGCATTGTTGCCTCTCAAAAGCACTGCCTGGCCAAACTCCTCGGGGGCAAGCAGAGGGTGCTGGTTTCCTCAGCACGTCCCCCATGCCCGGGGCTGGAGAGAGCCAGTTTTAGCAGACAGCACTGCATGTTAGTTTACAAACCCAGCTCTGCCCCTGCACGTTTGGCCTCTGTGCGTGTGCAGCTCCCTCTGGAGCACCCTTCCACTGTTCCGTCTTGGTAAAGATACAGTGTCCTGTGGTAGAAACCTGAGTCTCTTTCTGGCACATGTGGAGACAGTTCAGGGTTTTCAGAGCGGGCAGGAAGGTCTTGACCCATGAGGCTTGTTTTACAGAGAGCCCTTGTATGCAGCTGCAAGGATGAGTGCAGCCCCTCCCCCTCCAGCAGAGCAGGCACTCTGGGTGCAAGGCTCGGCCCCCTGCTCAGGGAACCACTCTAATTACTCTAGCCAGAGCAGAGGAAAGCTCTTTAGTTCCTCACAAGTTAAAACGGGGGCAACCTCCACTCCCCAGCCCACTACCTGGCCTCCCAGTGCAAGCCGGTGGGTGAGGCCCAGTCCAAGCATTCCCTGGTCCAGGTTACAAACCCTTTGAGAGCATGTTTACAGATGTAGGCAGAGGCTGCACTGGGCAATGGTGTTCATCCTTCCTGCGGTTCAGGTGACTATGGATTCTGCTTAGGGTACAATAGTTGCACTATAAGAGTCAAGACTCTCCACTGCATAGCAGGATTGACACGTGGAAGGATCCAGAGGTTTGAGGTTTTGTTGGTTGCAAAACACTTTTCTGTGCTACATGTGCAATATCTTTGTTATGAATGTTACCACAACAAAGTCAATTCATTAAATAAACTTTATAGTCACTGTACCTAGATGTTTTACATCCATTCCAATGACTTTTATTCCAAGTGCAATATTTCAATAGACATGTAGTGACCTAGTATGCTTTGTGTTTTAAAGAATCTGTGTGCAGAGCAATGCAAAGAAGTTTAAACTCTGTAAATAAAATAGGTTGCAAACCAAAACAAAAGAGTAATAGGCTTGCATTTAATTTCTGTGCCAGTGTTTCAGTATTCTGTATTGGGCCGCCTCAATATCGCCCCCCTGTGTTCTCTGTGGGATATTAACAGAGGAGTGGCTCCTCACTTGTTGAATGCTCCCGTTAATGCTTTACAGCTTTTATTGTATTAATTTTTTAGACTCCTGTCTGCACAAAATGCAATAAAATGATTTTATTACACCCTTCACCACTTGTAGTGGGGA